GGCTAATTTGGGTTTCCAAATCATCAGGTAAGCTTCTTCTTCTTTTTCCTTTCTTTTCTATGCATTTTCTTCAAGTTTTTGGGGCTGTGGTAGTGTTGTCCGAATTTCCAGCAAGTTCCCACCTGCTTTAATGACACTAATGCAGCCTAAGGGTGTCGTTTTTAAGCTAATACTCATCGGTTCATGTTAATGACAATTGTTATAATTGCTAATGGTAGCCACAGTTGTAGCCATAAATGGTGATTAAACCAATTACAGTGACAGTATAATCTAAGAACTATAGCCGTAATTACCAATTATGGCAACAATTGAAGCTAAGAACTGTCACCCTTGCATCATTTCCACTACAGTTCCACTCCCCACTATGGTGAAAATTCTTGTATTACTACTACACTCATTTCTATTGCAGTTCGCCTTGTGTCGAGAAAATTGTTTTTTGCACTAGTGTAACAAACTTTGACAATTTCTAAAAAAGCATCTTAATTCCCCTGATATAATTAAGGAGAAATTAATCATTTTAACCTTATAATTTTAATTAAGCTAAAACTTAGGCCTTAAACTATGATTTGATGCAACCTAGTTTCTGTAATTTTGGCTTGATTAATCAATTTAAACTTTAACTTAAATGCAATTTAGTTTCTATAATTTATAAAATTTTGACTCTTTAAATATTAGTTCCTATATTTTTAAAAATAAAATTATAAGGACTAAAGTTATTCCTTAAAACTTAGGAACTAATATTTTAAATTCTAAAACTATATGAATTGAGTTGTGTTGAGTAAAAATTAAAAAGAAAAAAGAGTTTCAACCTAATTAAAGTTGTAGAAATCGAGTTGCACTAATTTAAAATTTAATAAATAAGTTACAACTAAATTAAAATTATAAGAATTCAATTAAAATTTAAATGTAGTTCTTCCCACTTTTGATATCAAGTTCTTCCATCACAATAAAAATAAAATGTATAATTTAATACAAAATATTTAATAAAAAACCATATATACATACATACATACATATATATATATATATATATATATAATGACAAAAAATAACTTACTTATGAATGATGGTAAAATGAAGTGGAAGAAACTTGATTCCCATTTAAATTAAGTTTAAACTTAAGGCTTGGCCAGGTTAGAATGAGCTCTGATGTCAAGTCACCAATTTTTTCTATTAAAAAAAAAGATTAAGGTTATCCCAATTATACTCAACAACATTCAAATCTAATTAGATATATAATATAGAATCTCATATAAATGTATTGATTTAAAAAAAAGAAATAATTTACTTAAGAAATGAAACGAAAAGAGCTAGGAAAATCTGTTGAGGTTGAGAGAGACATGAGAAAATTGTATTGGTCAAGGTAAACTGAGATGATAGATGATCGATGATTCATTGAATTTGAAGGTCATCGACTCATTGGAGCTCAATATAAAGTCCTTGATTGACATCATACGACACGCTGCTACTGCCCTTCTTTCACGTAGTTGCAGACTTACAAACGGTTTGATTCACACACAGTACTTAATAGTTTTGTTAACTAGATTGGTTAAGTGCGAATGGACTTAGTCAATATGAAAACTTAATAGTTGATGTGCTTGCTTTCATGGACTTGTATTTTTTTTTTCCATTTGTTTTCAATAATTTTGTGATATTCATGAGTATTTACAATTGCTTGCTCCTCCATGTGCTCCTTTCGAAGATGAATACAGAACAATCCAGTGGGTTCAACCACCACATATATGATATATGCGTGCCTTTCCCCAATTATAGGAGTGACTTCTAAAATTTGCTTCAGGTTGTTTCTAAAGTACTAGAACAGTGAAGTTGGATCGCCCTAAACTGTTTTTTTTTTAATCCACTTTATGAAGTTTGTTTTGGTTCTTTCTCATAAAAAGAAGGGAGGATGGCAAGCAAGGATCTCATAAGAAGATTAATACCGAATTAATATTTTTTAAAAAAATTTAGTATTGAAAAATGGAACAAGGAATACTGAATTTGGAAACTTAGCTGTCAAGCAATCCTAATTTGATATTAATTTTCTTACAAGTCTTTATTTATCATTTTTTTCCAAAGAAAACGACCCCAAAGAAAGAATATTGTTGTATAAGTCAATTGTGAAAACCGTGTGAGGAAAATGACTGGGATTAATGAAGTGGACTGTTTAAGGATGACTTGAGTATTTGAAGCTTGTCTTCTATTAATTGGTGTTTGGGTCAATTTTTAATTTGTGGTCCAAGACATCTCTCTCTACTCATTTCGGGCAATTATTAAAGAAAAAAAATTAATACGTAGATCCTTCTAACTTTTAAAATTTTAAATGAAGTCCTCATAGTTTGTTTAATAAAATGTCGTTATAATTTATTTTGTTTTAATTAAATTCTTATCATTTAATTGATTATATATACTAATCCCCTGGAGGTTAAAATAATTAATGAATGACTTTCTTTTCCAAAACAAAAAAAGTTTTAAAATTTAAAAAAAGAAAATTGATTTAATATAATTTTTACATTTTATTTAATTTTTTATGAAAATTTAATATGTATAAAAATTATTGAGAAGGCATAGCCTAATTATTTAAATTTTGAGTTATAAAGCTTATGTAATTAATTTTAAGTTATATAGTCTTTTAATAAATGAAAAAGTTCTTAATTTTATTTTTTTAAAAGAAAAAATTCAAGAATTTTAACCTTAAGATAATAACATATTTAATCAGTTCAGTTTTAAGGGTTTGATTAAAACAAAATAACTGCAAAGACTTAATTCAAAATTAAGAAAACTTATAAAAGCCTGCAGATTAATTTTTCTATCATTATAAAAGGGGTTTGTCTTATAAAAAAGAACCAAAAAAACTTCATAATCTTTTAATAAAAATATAAAATAGAGAATGGGTTGCATCGAATCATAGTTTAGTGACTAAATTTTAACTGAATAAGCACTATAATGTGTAAATGATTAATTTTTCGTTAGATAGGGGGAATAAGATCACGAATTGTTTTCTCAAACGCGTGCAGGAAACAAGTCTTGCGGTGAAAGCTAATTACAATTACAATTGGGAAACTCACTCCGAAGTTCCTTCTAAAATTCGTGAGATATTTTCATAACCAACAAATTGATAAACTAAAATCCATATATATTCGTACAGGAACATCTAGTATCTTTTTCTTTTTTCTTTTTATGCAATATTTCCTTCCAAAATTAAAAACAATGAAATGTTGCCCTTATCAATAACAAATACTCCTTCCGTCCCGAATTATAGGATACTTTTGAAGGAGTTTTTCTGTTTCAAAATATAAGACATTTTGAGTTATTACCACCACTTGCCTTGACTAATCAAGACCCCCACTATGTGGAATTGTTATTACTAACAACAACCTCAAGGGTGTCTCAGGAATGCTTTTGATATTTTTATTTAATGCGATTGCATTTTCTTGGACTTGAACTCGAAACCTTGGGATAAGCTAATTATACTCCCTCGATTAGTCGAACCAAGCGTCCCTTGATAGAAACATGTTTTTGTCAGATCACAATTATTGGCAAAATCCTAGTAAGTAATTAAAAAATATGTGTTTGTTTTGGTGCAATGCCCCTTACGAGACAGATGTTATTTTGTCCTCATCTTAAAACAATTACTGGCTGCCATTGAAGACCTCCGAGCTCGGAACCCAGAACTACGCGATTAATTAATAGTCACTGACTCACTCAGGAGACGATTAAGTTTTGTAGAAAGAAATAAATAAGTCTGATGTATAGATTAATTTCGGTTGGGATGAATAATACTCCCTTCATTTGCATAGAGAGAAAGATTTTTCTAATCCTATTTATAAGAGATATCATTAATTTTTTATCATAATTTTTTTTCTTTTTTCTCATATATTGGTAAGAGAAAATATTAATACTTATACTTTTTGGTTGTCAATACAGATGCCTTTTGGAATAAAAATATCTTAAAAATTCTCATAAAAAAATCTCTTGAAAAGGATAATTAAGTAATTTCCACAAAGCATAAATCATCCTATAAATTTGCGCACCATCAAGTCATGATGAATATTTTTGTGACTTGAGAATTTTCGTGTAGGTGCTTGCTCCCTATTTCTCAGCTTCAATGGCGAAACTAGGAAATGAAAAGACGAGGATAGTTTGTGTGGTGTTCTGCTTCTTCTTGACTTTCGTGTTTGCCAGGGCCACCAGTAACCATGGTAGATTCGATGAGGAACTTGAGGTTCAGAAGCTTTTGGAGAAGTTGAACAAACCAGCTGTTAAGTCAATTAAGGTATACAATTTAGCTTCTTCGACTAGTTTTGATTTCACTGACATTTTACTTCAAATGTTTCTGCATAAAAGAAAGCTTCAATACTGTTCAACCTTTTTAACCTTCACACTCTGTGTTTGGACACCAGTTTCTAAAACTTACACCAGTTCTAAACTTACAGTTTCTGTTTAAAAAACTTAATTTCAGGAAAGTTGTTTTTTGTCTTTTTTCAGGAACTAGATTTGTAGAAAGTTAGTTTAGGCCTTTTCTATATCCATGTTGCAAATTTCGGGTTAAAGAAAGAAGATGACCTTTTATGTGAAAACTTAAAGGTATACAATCTTTTAATGTGCATTTGACAGTACTTAATTAAAAAGAAAGGATAAACATAACTTTTAGTCCTTGTACTTTACTCACATTTTTCTTTTAGTTCCTATACTTTTTTTCAGTGTTTTAGGTCCCTATACTTTTATTTTTCATTATTTTTGATTCCTCTAGGAGCAAAGTATATAAACTTTGGAAGAATTTAAAATAATAAAAAATAAAAGTGTAGGGACCTAAAATACCCCAAAAAAAAAGTATAGAAACCAAAAATAAAATGCGAGTAAAGTACAAGGACTAAAAGTTATATTTACCCAAAAAGAAATTATTTCTGAGTTTCATAATTCACTATTATATTTGGTTAACATTTGGTATTATGAAAAGCAGAGTCCTGATGGTGACATGATTGACTGTGGAATATTTTAAATCAGCCAGCTTTTGATAATCCAAAACTGAAAAATCACAAAGTTCAGGTAAAATCATTTATATATCTTAGTTGTCTTTTTTTTTAAATTGAATTTTCTAATTAACTCACAATTGTGATGTAAATTGTATCCTATTGCATGAAGATGAGGCCAACATTCCATTCCAGAAAAAGCAATATTTCAAACCGAATTGCTCAATTGTGGCACCAAAGTGGAAGTTGTCCAAAAGGGACCGTTCCTATTAGAGAACAACAAAAGAGGATATATTGAGGGCAGATTCTATCCAACAATTTTGGAAGAAAATCAATCAGAGCATC